TGCCCAATCAAGAAACGAAAACGCGCAGTGTCCAGATTACAACCACTTCCAATGACCCGGCTCTTGGGAAACTGACTTATCTTCCAGGCTGCGTAAGTTAAGACATCCACTGGATTGGAAACAACAATGAGCTTGCAGTGAGGACTGTAATGGACAATACTAGAAATCATTAATTTAAGGATGGCCACATTTCGCTGGACTAAATTAAGGCGTGTTTCTCCCTTTTCCTGGCGTGCACCTGCTGTGATAACCACGAGGTTGGAGTTTGCAGTGACACGGTAATCTTTGCTGGCAACAATATTTGGCATTTTCGCGAAAGGACTGCCGTGTTGAAGATCCATCGTCTCGCCCTTCAGTTTGTCTTCGGCAGCATCCACCAAGGCAAGTTCATCACTCAAGCCTTTAAGTAGGATGCTGACAGCACAGGCCATGCCAACGGCTCCAGTTCCGATAATGGAGACCTTACTGCGATGAATGGACTCCTCTGAAGCTAAGTGCTTTATAAGCTCACGCTTGACAGTCGCCATCGCGGACACGGGGCTAACGGGCCAGGCGCCCCTGTGTGGGATGCAGGCCGGCGGGCGGGGAACCGGTGCCGTCCCCAGACACAGGAAATTCGCGCTGGCAGCGCCCACGCTCCGGCTGGCCCGCAGGACTCCCACGGCCCAGCTCATGGCCACTCACCCAAGAGGCGGAGGAAGAGACTGGAGGAGAGCGGCGGGCAAGCTTTCCGGCGTGAAGGGCGGGCCAGTGACCGCAGGCCACCTCCTCGGCTTGCTACTGCGGCTGCGCACGGATGTGGGCCGTTGGGCGCCCCCTCGGCCTGCTACTGCGGCTGCGCAATGCCGGCCCAGCTCGCGCGGCCTCACAGCGGCCTCCAGAAAGTCCTTCTGTCTGCTCTGCTCACACTGAGGCGGTAAAGGGCTTCGCTCGCAGATGAATTCTGGAGTTACAGTGTTACGGAACATGAATTCTCTTCAATATATAATGTCTATAATAGACGAACCCAGATCCCTGGGCTCACTGTGAGATTTTGTATTTTTAGTATGTATGCCAAGTAAAAATGCTTTCATTAAGTACAGGTGGAAAAAGGTAAATTTTCTGAACTGTAACCCTGCCAGGAAGAGTACGGTGCCTGCATTGTCTCTCCATGGCTTGTTGCACCATTTCCTTGCATATGCAGAAGTGGGGCTCCTCCTCTATGTTGTATCCAGTTTGAGAACCTTCTATTTGGACAGGATTCTGTTGCCTTCATGCCAGTCGTGACCATGACCCACAACTCTGGAGAAGCCACAGGAGCTTGACAACAAGGGGAAGGGGCCGACTATGAACTTGTCCAATACTATAAGCTCGGGAGAAGCTGTTGACTTTTTCTCACTCCAAAGGAAAGCTTGTGATTGAGGGTCCTGATTAAAAACCATTTCTCAAGTAGAAAGCCTTCTTTACAATGAAAATACATCTTAAATGTCCTTAAAGTGGCAAATTTTAATTCCTGCACAAAGATCATTGATTAAAGCAGTAAACTAAAATACGGCTGACCCTTGAATAACACGGGTCAACTGTATTAACTAGTACAACCCCGCATCAGTGTATCCTGCCTTCCAATGTGTTTTCTGGTCATTCTTATGAACTTCCTTTCAAGTTTCTAAGGACGTAGAAACTTTCCATCTGATGAAATACGTACTTTAATAAACCCAATAAACTATAAAAGTCCAAATAAAATGAATGGTACTTTCTCCCCACTGATAAATGGAGTTCTGAGCATGTGAGGATTGCTCAAAGCTCTCCTCTCCTTCTAAGAGGACAATGTGCTCTCTCCTAATGGGGCCCTTGGTACACGGAGCAAGCGCCCTCGTGGTCAGCAAAAAAAAAAAAAAAAAATTTCAGTTTTAGAATACTGGATCTTCACAAAACGAATATTTCATATTCAGGGCTTGAAAAGCTATTCTCATCCTTCCCGCCACTGACATGGAGGAGAGGAACAACAAGCACAGAAGTTGGGGAGGGTGGGAGACGCCTGGCAGTCGGCACAGGTTCCTGCGGTCCTATCTTAGTGTGACTTGCTGGCACTTGAGCAGTGGTCAGACATGCTGTTTAAATGGTACAGTCACAGGCTCTGTGACACAAGAAATGGTAAGAACACCACATATATGAGTTCTCTCCACACTACGGTAACCATTTGCCGAATTAAAAGGGAATTTAAAATACGATCACCTTTACTTAGTGGTGGTCAACATTTTAGAGGGATCCTTTTAAAAGACTAACTTTTGATAGTTATTGTTTCTTTTATTCCAGTCATAACTAGAAATATTTTCATCTGATGCTTGTTCCCATCTTCCTGTAATGATTCCTTTAGCCAGTCAAGTCATTTTCCAAGATAAGTATTCTTGAGGATGAAAATTCAAGGACATAAAGACTCTTAGCTAGATAGCTTCTTTCTATAGCAATTTTCTTTCTAGAGTTTGAACCTCTTCAGAAATACAATCTCTATGAGAGCTGCCTCTTCAGTTTCTCCCCTTAACCACAACTAAATCAATTTTGAGGGGGGAAAAACACTCTCCAAAATAAAAATACCTCTAACAAAGCAGTTTTTTATTTATAAGTCTTGAGATAAGACGGAAAAAACCTAAGAAAAATGAAGAGATGTACGTGACCTCCACAGCAGATTTAGGTTTACTCAAAGACGTGGAAAGCCAAATCTAACTAGACATCTCTCTACCCTAATGGCTTTCTATCTTAGGTGGCCCTTCATTTCTTTTGAATGGAAAACCTAACTCATATTATCTACTCAAAAATGAGTACAACGTTATAGCTGACAGCAGGATTACGCCATAATACTTTTCGTTACCCTCTTAGGAGGGATGAGGCAGGAAACGAAGATGACCAGCAAGTCTCTGGACCAAGGATGGTTACAACTAAGGCATCCTTTTCCTTCCACCTGGACCCTCACCGCCAGCAACGCTAACCTTTTCTATGTAGGAGTCCAGTACAAATACAGATGCTCCTGGACTAATAATGATGGGGTTACATCCCAATAAACCCACTGTATTTTGTAAGTATTTTAATGTGGCATTTAATATACCTAACTTACTGAACATTACAGCTTAGCCTAGCTGACCTAAAATATGCTCAAAACACTTACATCAGCCTACAGTTGGGCAAAGTCATCTCGCTGCTGCTGCCCAGCATTATAAGAGAGTATTTTACCACCTATCTCTAGCCTGAGAAAAGATCAAAATTCAAAATTTGAAGTACAGTTTCTACTGAATGCACAATCACTTTGGCACCATCAGAAAGTTGAAAAACTCGTAAGTTGATCCAGTCAGGGCCATCTGTATTCCATCTTCTAAATCTTCTACAATGCTCCAAGCAGAATTGACTTTTTAAAATTCTGTACCACCAAAGTACTCTGTAATTAGATATAATTACTTAGGAATGTGTCACTCCAAAACAGATCACTTTTTATTTACCAGCATATCCCTGTCCTTTAGAACAGAGCTTGGTCCATGAATAGGGATTCAGTAAATGTTTGTGGTAGAAAAGAATAAGTAAATAACTAGAGAAGTGGGTTAAGTAAGGCTACAGGGCTAAAAAGTGAGAGAAATGGAAAGACACTAAATAAAGGGGTAAGATGTGTGGGTGTTTGTTTGGGGTTTCTTAGCAAGGCTGATGCATAAATTTCAGATAAAGCTATGGGTAAGCTAAAGATTTCTTAACTATTCTCAAAGCCAAGACCTACCTTTACCAAGTTAGAACATACAAAAAGAAAAAAATCTATAGTGCTTTAAACACAGTAAATGCAATGGCAGAAACAATATTTTTAGCCTTTAAAGTTATTTAAAGTATTTTGTTCCTTGGAAAGCTTTAAAAAAATTTATGCACAAAACCCTTGATTTGCAAAAAAAAAAAAACCAAATAAAAGCAATGAAAGCATGTTAATTAATAAGCTGATCTAAAATCGGCTATAAACTCACCAGCATGCAAGTAGGGTATTATATAAACAATTATTTTAAAAGTCGTCTTTGTGATTTGAAAGTTATAAAATGCAAATTGTAGTTTTAAAACACATTAGTGGGCTGTAATTCCATTGCTCACAGATACAAAAATCTATGTAACTATGTAGTCCTTGTGTGACGTTCTTTACAGATCCCAGCTCCTGAAAATATTGTCCTTTGTCAGCAATACTGGGAAGGCCAGGGAAGGCCAAAAGCAGGGCCACAAGGCTTTGTCCCCTGAAGAGAATGAAGGCAGACTGCCAATTCAAAAATCAACACTGGGATCAGCCTCCTACTGATGGCCTTCAAACATTATACATGAATTGGCAAGTTCTAATAAATTACCCAAATCTCATTTTTGTTCTTTAAAGACATCATCTTAGACATAATTTTTGTTGCAATGTAAAAGAGCTGCTTGTATTAATCATAAAAAAGGGGGAAAAGGAAGTATTTTAATGTGGCACAAAACGTGAAAAACAAATTAAAATTCATTAGTATGTGTGTAAATTGGGAAACTAACTTTATGGCTATAGGCGCTAACTGCATAGGTGTTTTATTAATCTACTCCATTTTTTTTCTGCCAGTGGCTTAGGTAATAGAAGTAATACTGTAGTCCCCAGTAACAAGAGCTTTATTTATCTATTTAAAAAAAAACTGACATAAAGGATTTCTTTGTGTATGGAAGTTACTTTCAATTTGCGGCAGAAACATAAGTTACCTCATAAACTCAAAACTACGTACCCAAACAGATTAACTCTACAATGTAAATGTTAAAAATTAACTTGCCTCCAAACTACGTCTAGGCAAAGAACAGAATCAGCAGCAGGGATCATGGGAAGAAGAAGGGGCATTCCAGGTAGGGGATCAGCCAGTCAAGTAGGCCCATGAGCCAGGAGCTCAGAGTGTGGGCTGGAGACGCAGAGCTGGCAGCTGTCTACACGTGGATAAAGCCACCAGAGTGTGTGGCACCTGCGAAGGAGAAACTACAAGATCAAAGCGGGCGGCTCAACATAACTGTGTGCAGAGTTCATCAGAGCATTTGAGAAGTAAATGGGAAAGTGGGAAGTGAAAAATAAGAACCAAACTAGGATTCAGAAAAATTACAAAAATAAAAATAAAAAAGCCAGGAATCTGTTAGTACAAGAAGCAAACAATAACTGATATATCTGAGTCATCAAGAAGTTATGTTTAGCATAATTTACATTGTGAAAAGATATATAGCACATTATAAAGTTTTTCTTCTTATACTTGTTAGAAATATTTCAACCAGGAAAATTCAATTTGAGAGAACAGTTCCATTTTCTGATATAGGGGTAAATGAAAAATAATATATAAATATATCAACATATATTTTTTCATAGTTTTAGATATTCATAAGTGACTAACCAATAGTAGGTACCTCTTCAAACAAAGCTTCAGGGGAAAGCTTACGCTGTCAGGTCTTCATGCCACAATGCTTTATGGAAAGATCTGCTCATGTGAGTCCACTTTTCTAGACTCACTGTAAGAAACAAGGGCAAAGAACAAGAAAACCCAAGTGAAGTCAAGGATACCTCTCCTCCAGTGGAATAAGGCTGGGGACATTCTTGGGGTGATTAAGCTGATCTGTGTCAGACCTCCAACAGAAGGCTTTTACAGCAGAGCTTATCTTTCTTAGCAATTCTTGCACATTCTCACTTTATAAAATGCCTAGGGCCCTATTTTACTTATAAAAGGAAACTGGTGGGTTTTTAAAGAGCTATCTTGGCAATGTGCCACAACAGCTGATTTCCCACCCCCAGCTCAGGGAAAAAAGTGCACTGGTCATTATCTCCCCTTTTAAACTGAGCCAGTCCCCCTGACACGGCCTCTCTGTCACCAAATTGCTCCTCCATGCACACGAGTGCCTCTCACCACCAATGCCAGGCCCATTAGAGCTGCAATGGAATGGAAGTAAGGGTCACAGAGATGTTCTTGTCATCTCGGACCTGAACTTAGCTGATGCACAGTGCCACTTCCAATTAATTTAAAAATGATTCCAGGAAAATATTCCTCAATGCTTAAGCTGTTTGAAGACCCGAGAGCTTGATAGATGGAACTATCTCTGCAAGATCATGATGACTGTGTTCTGGGCCTTCCAGTAAGTACTACCGGGAAGAGGAAGCAAGGCTGGGTCTGCTGACGTGATCATCGGCATAAGACACGGAAGCCTGCTTCCTGGGGGCAGAAGCTCTAGAGGCGTTTGGAAGCACTGAGGTTAGGCGAGGGGGGCAGAAGGGGGGTGTTTCCGCTGCTTTTCAGACTTGCAGGCCGCTCAGAAGTGGCTACCATTAAACACTTTGCCAGGAGACTCAGATTTGGTTTTAATCTTTGACCTAAATCAATGCAAAGTATATAACATAAAGTCTATTTCCTTCTTAGATCTCTTAGAAGTTAAAAACTTTTAAGTGTCTCCGTAGTTTATTTTACATATGGGGTTCTAGCATTCACTCCACAATACTGCTTCCTTTGAAATGACTAAGACGATGGAGGCATAAATGTACTTAATATGAGACACATCGGAATGCTTGTAAAACTGAACTTAGCAAAGTCAAAAGAAAGAGATTTGACTGTAATTAGCAACAAGTTTAAGAGCAATATTTAATATATGTTTTATTTACCTGTTTTACTTTAATTTTTTAAAGAAAAAAAGGCCTAAGCTTTTCAGAAAGCAGCAACCTACATCAGCAGATGCGGAGGCAAGACCGGGGCTGGAGAGGAGGCAAGGCTGCACTCACAGATTTCCATAAAAGCCTGCACAGCAGCAGGGCCTTCAGAGATGTAGTCAAGGAAGAAAGAGATTATTTTCCTGTCTATCAGATGGGCAACAATTTCAGAGTAATAGAAGCCACTAATGGCAAGGGTGCCAGGAAACTTGTATGCACTGTTGACATCTTCTAAATTACATCAACTTTCCTGGAGGGCCGTTCAGCACACATATCAAAAACATTTTTAACATGCCCTCTGATTCAACAAAAACATCTCCTGTCCTTAGGACAAATTTCTTGAGCAAGACAAGTACAAAAAGATGTGTGCCGGGCTGGCCGAGTGGCGCGTTGGTGAAGAGCTGGCTTGGGATGCCAGCTTTGGGCAGCAGGGCCCCGGTTCGGATCCCACATTAGGGCCAGTGACGCTGCGCCCTCTACAGCTAAGATGGTGAACAACAGCTCGACCTGGAGCTGGGCTGCCATGAGTCGCCGGCGACGGCGTAGGCTGCAGTGGGCTGCCATAAAGCTACCATGAGTGGCCGGCAGCGGGCATGAGCTGCCATCTAATGGCTGGCGAGCAACTGCCTCAGCCAGGAAGAGCGCAATGATCACAATACCAACATGGGCCAGTGAAGCGACGTCCTCCACAACTAGACTGAAAAACAAAAGGACAGCAACTTGTCTGTTCCCCTCCCCCAATTCCCCAATAAAATCTTTAAAACAAAAACAAAAACGATGTGTGCCTATAAAGGTTCATGACGGTGTTTAACAGTGAAAAATTACAATCTGAACACTGTTGGCAGGAGAATGATTAAGTAAATTATAAAACACAACAGAGTGCCATGTGGCCATTAAAAGTGATGGAGATTTATAGACTCTACATGCAGATGTTCCTATGACTATCCAGTGAAGAAAGGTTCCCGAGTAGCATAGTAAAACAGTATTTATATGCGATTATGTGAAGTGCCTATAGAAGGTCTGAGGGTATTTCTACTGTAATGGGCGACTGTAACTCAGTGAGATGTTTCCTGTTTGGTACTTTTCTACATTGATTCTTTTTTCTAAAAAACAGTGAGTCTATATTTTCACACAAAAAAACAAAACCATCTCTGTTAAAATAAAAAAAGATAGGTCCAAAATATATTTTCCTTTAAAAATAAATACCAACGTATGGAAATAAAGACAAATACCTCTTATCCCCATGGTAAATGGGTAAACAAACGTCCTTCGTTTATAAATTAATTTTTAAATTTAAATCTCTGGACAATTTAAAGTATTTCACAGTAACTAAGAATGTTTTCATTCATGGTTTTATTACTATTGAGGTTAGCTCCTATGAGGGCAACAATTCTAAATTATTTGTAAATAATTACAAATCTAACTACACCAAGTATCATGAATATATTATAGACAAACCACAGCAAACATTTGCACAATTCTAACCAGTACTTTAAGACTATAACCTCACTTCAAAAAAATAGAAATGGGTCCACAGACATAAAAAGCTACAAAGCTTCCAATCATATTAAATCAGGATTAGTTAGACACCGAATGTTTTTCCTTCTAGGGGAGAAAAAAATGGTAAGATAGTCTAACCATAAATATGCACAACTTCTTCAGAAATCCTTTCAAGTATCAATACCTACTATAAATAATAAAAGGCAAAAAAGTGAACAGGTCATTGCTCTTGAGTAGCATAAATAACTGTAGGAGGCATGGTTTTCTTTTGATAACTGGGGAATTACCAGTTGGTATCACTAAAGGTCTTATTTACTGACTGAAGAGCATTTATCTCAACTATTCACTAAACTTAAAATGTCTGCCCTGATAAAACGATCTAATCACAGAGCCATGGCGTGCACTCACCTAGCCTGAACGTCAGTCTCCTGGGACCATGAACCCATAGTAACTGTTCATTCTTTTCACAGTTAAGTTACTGTGATAAAATTAATGCTGCCTCTGTCATAATCAGATGATAAAATACCATAATTCAAAGTAACTGATGAACCCATACTAAGCAATCAGGCCACGCTTGCTGACCCAAGGCTGGTAGGGGGTGGAGCTGGTAAGGCGATGGCTGAACCTGTACTGACTGCTACACAGAGGCGGGAGGGTCCCCTCTTAAATTCTGGGCCCACTTATCTCCTCCATTGGGCTGACAGGATAGCTTCCTATCTCCTTTTTTGGAACCTCTGATTAAATGTGTAAAATACAAATTTATATTTATATTTTATGTATTATACATATTCTATGTGAAATGAAATTCCACAATAACTATGAATAAACAAAAAATAAATCTAAAACATTTCTAAGACTCTGAAGAGCTCTGATTTAAGCATTTTCTGCATGTTCCCTTTCAAACCAGCAGATGTAGCTGTGAATTAAAGCAGGGAATGAAAGCTGTTCTCAGTCAGCCATTAGATGGCACCCTTCTTTTTTTGAACTGGGTTTATATTGGAGATTTAGTATAATTGAAGGCATCTGTCAACAATTATTTGACACTGGAATTGATTTTGATTTACCTGCATTTATCTGGAATGATCATTTCAATTATTTATTGAGTGTACAGACTTGGACCATTTCTGTTCAACATTTTCTGACTAAGACTGTTTTCCTTAGTCATTGAAAGATGACATTTCCTAAAGAGGTAGTAAATAGTGATAAAAGTTCATCACTGGACTCAGGGCAACCTCACAGTTACCATCAAAACTCTCTGAAGTAGGGCTGAAATATACCATATTGCTCTCCACAAGCCTCAGAGCAGGGTCATGTAGTAAGAATTTGCTTAGAAAGTCTTGAAACCTAAGCCTTCCATAGTAAGTTGACTGGGAAGCCAGCCCTGTCTTAGCACAGGGCCAGGCTCAGGGTAGGCACACAAATGTCTTCTGAATGAACAAATCAATTAACACTACTGCTTTTAAAACATGTGCCCTTGACAAAGTATCAATGGTCCATTTTTCTGTGAGGCTTCTCAGACGGGGAGCTCAAACTGATACACCTAATGTAGAGAGAGTATATTTGCAGTCTCTTTTTTGTCAAAGACATAAAGATGCAATCTAAAAGGACCCCAAGTGTCCTTATATTCAACAGGGCCAAACAGAAAAGAATTTTTCTCCCCTAAATATTTTATTTAGACCACAATCATCTTATCAGTCCCATACAGCAAAGAAGTTCACATTCTAGAAACTAAAATAGCACAGTCTAGCCCATAGAGCCCAAGGTCTCATGCATATAATTTAATTTAAATAACCTAATTTTGCTGGTCTATGAAAATTTGCCAGCAGAGTTACTTTACAAATAAAGGTTAGTCGGACTAGGAGAAAAGCAACATCTGTTTGTCTATCAGCATATTTTGAGTGAAAAGTACAATAATGCCTGTGCTTAGTTATGATTAAGCCAAATGTGAAAAACTCAATGTCAGGAATAACAGTCATACCCATTACTCCAGCAATCCTCCCTTCCCTCCCCTCTACTGAATCTCTCCCATCAGCATGCACATTTGCTGTCAATTCTCCCAGCTTCATACCTCTCCCTCTCTCTCTCCCCACGCCTCCGCACCCCCCAAGTCCCCCATCTCGCTATGACCCCATTTCTTTCTTTTCCTTCCCAGCAAAACGCAAGGCTTGCTTACACACACTGCCTCCAACCTCTCTCCTCCATTCTCTTTCGGATCCCCTCCACTCAGGCTTTACCCATCAACGACGGCCACAATGCCACTCAGTGAACTATCTCATGTGACTTAGCCCCAACATGTACCTCCTTGAAACGTTTTCTTCACCTGGCATCCAAGTTACCATTCTCCTGGCTTTCCCTCCTTCGGCAGGGAGACCTCCTTTGCTTTCTCCCCACTCCCCAGCCTCTAAATCTTATGAGAGCCAAGAGCCCCTTCCTCGGCCCTCTTCTCTTTCCTCTCTACATTCACTGCCTTTGTGAGCTCACCTGGTTGCCTCACTTTAAATACTACCTGTATACTGCTGAGTCTCAAATGTATATTTTCACCTTGCACCTCTCCCCAGAATTCCAACCTTCTATATCTAACTGCTTACCTGACTCTCCACTTGGCTATCTAACTGGTATCTCAAACGGGCAAGTCCCAGATTGAGCTCCTGACATTAACCCCGACACCTGCTCCTGTCACACTGGTCCCCATCCATTTTTCAGCTGCTCAGGCCAAAAGTCTTGGAAACATCCTTGACTTCACTTTTTCTCTCACCTTTGGCATCCAGTCTGTAACAAATGCTTGTGGACTCTACCTTTGAAATATATCCAGAACCTCTTTTCATCAACTCCACGGTTGCCACCTATTCCAAACCACCATCAATTCTCACCTGTCACAAAAAGCCTGGTCCACAGAGTTTCCTACCAACAGTTTACTAAAAAAGAAGCCCATCATTCTGCATGCACAGCTCCTTAGCTTGGGGTATAAATTACACACACACACACACACACACACACACACACACACACACACACACGCGCACACACGCGCGCACACACACATATATGTTTTTTGGATTTTCTCCAGTAATGTGTAAACACATTAATAATTTAAATAATAATTTTAAAATGCTTTAACTATTTTAGGATATTGATATATATGGATGTCAAACATCACAGAAAGTTGCCCCAAATTAAATAATTTTACTGAACAACAGCTACTGCCAATTTATATAGCATGAACATTTGCTATGAACTAGTCACTACTTACTTATATTTGAAGTTTCACCACCTTTAAATATTTAAGTTATTTATATGATTTACTAGTAATGAGAAGTTGCCTAGCTGTTAGTAAGAACTGAGTCACATTCTCTGTCATTACTTCCCAAGACAGTGAACAAATTATATGCAACTTTGAAAATCAGGAAGATTTAGACCACAGAAAGTAGAACAAACATTCCAGATACCAATTACAGGGCTGTGGCTACTTACGCTGTGAACGCCTAACGCTTTCCAGACTGCAAAGCTGATCACACCAACCCCACACCACGCGTACAGGGAGCCCCATCCCAGGGCTCGCAAGGCCAGGGAAGACCCGCTCTCTGGAAGAGCAGCGGTGGCCACGCTTCCCTGCAATGAAGACAGAAAGGTTGGGGTACAAAGCATCAGTTCACAGTGAACAAATATTTAGGGCGCGTTTGAAATGAATGTAAAAAAAAAAAAGGCAAACACACACTAAAATACCCCAAGAGAAACTTTTGAAATTTATATGAAACTATTTATAACTTACTTTTGTTAGTGAGAATGAACATTTTCCCAAGTTATCATGAACCAAATGTTTGCCTTTTGAATTGTATATTTATGTTAATTGCCCACTGAAAGTTTTCTTATTTGTATATTCTCTTTATATGTTAATGTTCGTTAGCCCTTATACCTATTATATATGGTATCCTATTTCCCTACTTTTAATTCCTTTTATTTTGATTTTGGTCAAAGTGCATTCTAATGCTTTTTAAACTTATTAAAACTCCCCCTATAATGAAGTTACAGTCATTTTTCTTTTTTTCAGCTGTATTTTTTGTTTTAAAGTTGTCTCTTCCTTTTACCCTTAACTTTTTAGATCATCTGATATTTATTTTGGTTTTGATAGGAGCTGATGAACTAAAGGGTACTTCCTGATGAACTTCCCAAGTAGCTTAGCAACTGCCCTAGCACCACTCTATCGATTACTCCTTCTCCCAACTTATTTGAGAAAATTACATATAAAGAGTTTTATTTTTCAGCTATTTTTGTACCACTAATTTATTATCTATTTTTTATGCCAGAACCACAGATTTAATTATAGAATCACAAAAACTCTTAATATCCAGGAAGTACACCACACTCATTACTTTTCTCAAAATTTTCTTTGCTCTTTTTGCCTATTAATTCTTCCAGAAAAACCCTAGAACATTCTGTCAAGATTTCTCCAACCCCCAAACAACTGGAGAAAATGCCCATACATTGGCATTTTCATTAGAATGATATCAAACTAATGAGCTAATCAGATAAGAGATAGCAAGTTTATAGCATCCTATCTTCCACCTGGCTATGTATTTCCATTTAAGTCCTTTTCTTTTTTTAGAATACTTTTGATAGTGCTCAACACATTTCTTAATAAAGTTATTTACATGTGTTTTGTGATTGTGAATGTTACTGATAGCACATAGAAATTCTGTTTGTCTGTATTCCGTGCCTAGCACATGCCTAGAACTAGTAGACATTCAGTATTTGCTGACTTATACTTTTTGTAAATATACCTTAGAGCCAACCAAATTTTCAAGAAATTTTTTGTTAGCCATTTTCTATGACAAAAACAATATTCTCTCTGATCTAATTCTCACGTTGCTGTAATTTCAGAGTTGTTACTAAATACCACAGAGCTCACATAAATACACTAAGGTCTAATGGCCTGAATTTTCATCCGGAACAGTACCATTAACCAAATATTATTAAACCAAGGTTGTTTTAAGTGCTTTGGCCTAAATTTTATTTTAGAAACTTAAATTTAAAATTCCTTATTTTCTTGGGAAGGACAGAAGTTATATACAGTAATACCTTGGTTTGCGAGCATAATTCGTTCCAGAAACAAACTACTCATATTGCAAGACATCGCTCGTTTACCAAGTTAAAATATATTAGAAATGTTTGCTCATCTTGCAGAACACTCGCAAACCACGTTACTTGCAATCCAAGGTATAACTGTATGTAGAATATATGGACATATATTTTTCAAAGTATACATAAACCCACATTTGTTTTACTAAATCAAGTGAAAAAGATAGCTATGTATAAAAATAACCCTTAATGACATAGCAATATTCCTAATAAAATCTTAATTTTGTCAAACTTTTACATTCTTTTTAAAAATAGTGTCTGCTATATTTGTATATCATCCTCAGAAATTGAGATGAAAACAGTTATTATTACTCATTGTCTACATACTTCCAAAAATGAATTTTAGTGGAAACTTTATTAAAAATTGATCTGTCCTTATTATTAAGGTTTTAAAAATCTAGTCACAAGCTTTTCCCTCTGGACTGTATGTCACATGACCTCCATAAATCCTGCTCAGAAGTTTCAAAATGAACATTGGCTGATGAGCTGCAGGGAAATACTGACTTGCCAATAGAACGTGTTGTTGAAAAGATCTTTAGATATAAACACATATGTTAGTACATATAGACAATGAAAGCTACGTTTTCCCTCACTGCCACATTTTTTAAATTTAAATTAAAATGAAGGCATGTGCGTATGAAGTTGACTTTAACAAATCACATTGTAGTTATGGTATTTAATATCCCCAAGATAAAATAGAAAAAATTATTTTCTAGTTGACAACTGTGTTTACGATACATCTGATGCCTAAAGACATGGGTGCCCCTTATCTTCTAGCAGGTGACAAGAGTCAATCTATTATTCACAGGTGTAGGAACAATCAAGAGCAAACTGTTCAGTTTGGCAGAAAGCCAGCTGCATACCTAAGCATAAGGTTCATGTTTTTAGTTTTCTTCAGTTTAATGCAAATCAAGCTGATATTTAAAAAGAATGGTCAATCTAGTTATTTCCTCTACAGAGCATTCTTATCTGATACCACATTTTGATATATTTTTTACATTACACAAATACTGGCTGTATTTTTATAATGTATACTATGTATTTTTTAAAGAGATTTATTTTTAAATTTCTCAGAAGTTGTAACTATAGCAGAAAGATGATGACTTGCCCTTTTTATTGACTCATTATATACATGGGTCTTGAAATAACTGAGTTATTTGAAGAATTTTACCATGCTATAATAAAAAGTACGGGCACCATATTATTTTAGATAAGTAAATTATTTGTGTGTATATATTATTTCATATTTGCTTCAATTGTTTTAACTAAATAGATATATAATATGTACATTATTTTCACTCATAGTGCCTCAATTAGTCCCACAATCATTTTATGAGACTGCTGTTATACAAATGTGGTATGTATAATACCAGTTTTTAAAAAATCATTGATCTATTTTAATCAACCAAAGAAACTCAAGAGTAGAATTTTTTGACCACCTTAGCTTGCACCTCTTTCTGTTTATTCAGAGAAGGAGGAAGAAAAATGAATGTTCATTCAGCACTTAACTATTTCTCTCCCTCAACTCCCGGTTTCCTAGCATGAGATTTAGCTAAAAGAGTGCAAATTAACACAGTATAGGAAGGATTATCATCCTCCTAAAATAATAACAGTGTAGGCAGTCCCCACTGATAGTTGACCATTTTAAAGTCCTTTTGGGCTGCAATTTGAATCTGTATTACAATTAAAATCTAGATTCTCAGGCTAGTGGACAAAAGTAAATTCAAATAACAAACTGCTAAAAAAAAAAAAAGCATTATTTAGTCACCAGACGTAATCAAAGATGGACAGAGTGCCATGGTGAGCAAGTTTCTTAATCTATCTGTGCCTCAATTTAATGAGGACAACAGTACAATACCGGGGGTGACAAAAAAATGTATACATGTGGATACTTTGGTCAATGTTGCTCAAGCAGTAGTTCGCTGTAATCAGAAGTGTCTGGACGCTGATGGTAACCACTTTGAGCACCTCTTGTAATTGCAGAAGTCAAACGTGACTTGTATTCATCTTTTGTTATCAGTGTATAATGAGTATTACAATTTTAATACAGTTTTTTCCTTTTTTAAGTATAGTATCTCACAGGGCTGTGATGGGGGGGTAAATGAATCCTAACCCTAAGAACAGCGGCTAGCACACAATAAGTACTCAAATGTTAGACATCAGAGAAAAACACCCACAGTGCACTGCGTGAGTGGTAGCAGTTTTAAACTGGGGCTTGCTCAGTATAAACTCATTAACTGCTCCAGAACCTCTGAGCTCTTCCACAAATCACTTTGCCTGTCAGAGTCTGGGTCAGTGGTAATGCTCTAATTTAAATGTTTTCCCAGGGGGGAGGTAAAACTTTACATATTTAACCATCCTGAACAGTGGTTCCCAAACTTTCTGGTCTCAGGATCCATTTATACTTGGACCCCAAAGATTTCTGAATATATGAATTATATTTATCAATAGCTAATGTATTAGAAGTAAAACTAAGAAATTCTTGAATTTTATTCATTTAAAAATAATAAACCCATTATAGATTAACATAAATATATTTTTATAAAAATAATTGTCTTATAAAGCAACCAAATTTAGTGCAAAGAGAGGCAATCTTTTACATTTCTGTTAATCCTTTACATGTCTGGCTTAATAAACAACAGTTGGATTTTCATATAAGATTCTGTATACAATCTGCTGCAGTATGTTTTTCGGTTGCAGTGTAGGAAGAAAATCCAGACTCTCACAGATATGTGGTTGGAAAACGGAGGAGCATTTTAATAGCCTTCATTCTCTGATACTACACCAAAACTCAACCAATAGCTTCTTAAGGTTAGCTGCAATATGGAACCGGAAGTCACATCAATGAATTCTTTTGTACTTTGTAACCTTAAAACCCATTAGTGTATTTTGCACTTTGACTGGACCTTTTATCCATGCATTGTGATCATTTAGAAAATAGATATACTAAATTATATAGATCTTTGAAATGTTGACACCATTTGTTAAATATTTCAAAAAATCACATCATTAATATCATCACCAATCTCATCAAAAAAGACTATAAATACTGAGCAGCTGTCAAGCTCACAATGGCAGATACAAGTTTTCTAAGATCGAATTTTCACTTGAAAGCTCAAATTTATCATTGGCAACAAATATTAACAACTCCTTGCTTGAAGAGACAGGCTCATTTTGTTCATTTTTAAGAAAATGTCTGCCAAATACCCACTTCCGAATAACTACAATTTGTCAGTTGTTCTTTCAAGTAAAAATGATATGCCATGAAAAAAGGCAGCTAGTTCAGCGTGCAACTCAATCACGCAATTGCTTTTCCTTGAAAACAAATCTTACTTTAGTATAAAGCAGAAGTGCTTTATGTGCACATGCCATTTCTTCACATAAAATATTAAAGATGTATGTTCAAGGGTCAAGGTTTAATAAAATTAGTAATTTTATGCTTCATTGAGGACATCTTATGCAATGATGGCTATTTTTAAAAAAACTACAGGTGGACGGTAATGAAGACCGCAATGACTCAGTACAGTTTGGGGGTCACTGCCCTGATTACATCAAGGCACTGGCAGTTTACCCTCCCATTGCTTTTGTACCATCAGTGCAAATGTCTTAGTATATTATTATGAAAAGTTTTGACTTTACAGACCCCAAAAAGGGTCTCAGAGTTCTGTGGGCCACAGCATGAAAACCACTGTGTTAAGACTATAAAGGGCATGTGTGATAATCAAATCTTAGAACCACAAAATAGAATGCAAAGTTGCGAACATATGCATGCACTTTTTTTTTCCTGAGAGAGAATTCCTAGCTTTCATCAGGTTCTCAAAAAGATCTGTGACCTGAAGGTTAATGTGGAAACCTAAGCTTAGAAATCAACCCAAGTTCCACTATTAAAGCCCCACTATCTGTCAGGTTTTACTGATTTTTTCCACAAGATATATTCTGCTCTGAATATATTTTATAATATAAGCGGAGACGACCATGAGGTTCATAGGACTGATCCAGGAAGCTCCATATAAGCCCTGATATTCAGAGTCGGGTCCAAATGCACTATAATGTGGTGTCTTCAAATTACAGTATTCATAAGGCTTAAGTATGATTATTACATTATTAAAGGTAAGTGGAAAGGGAATTCAAATGGCTTATGATTTTTCACATAACACTGTTCTTCTAAAGCTAGCATCAAATTGTAATCACATAGTTATCTGTGTGACTATTTGTTTAATATCTCTCTCTTGCACTGAGGCTAGCTTCCGGAGAGGCAGATATGTTTTGTTCATTTTTATACCTCTCACACTTACCTAGCACAGTGCCTAACACATAAAAGAGCCCAAGTTAACAACTGTTGGAGCAATAAAGTAATGGCTAAACCATATGGGGTGGGAAAGGCAGAGACAGTCTAATACATAAGAACAAGTAACTACAAGCAAATATGAAGAAAATTTCTCATCAACTAGGGAAATGAGCTACACGTGACCATGACAGTGATTGCTCGATCTTGCTCATGGAGTAAGGATTTTCTGTGTGAAGTAGTTATTCAACCAAAATTTACCAAGCACGAACTATGTGCCAGGCACTTTTCTAGAGGGGGAGCTGCAGTAATGCACAAGCATGTATGGTTTCTGGGTTCAAGGAGCTGACACATGTTTTTAATTGATACTGAGATGCACTTTATTTCAACATTTTAACTAACATCTCTGAGTTAGATATGCCTCTTGAAATCAGTACTGTGTCAAGAGTTTAATTGGCATCACTTTTTATTTCTTAGTGCTACATAAAATATTTGGGCCTCTTACAGTGAAATTACCTGGATTTAGATCTAAAGTCATGTTGTGAATAGGAAGTGTACTAGATGAGCTTTCCAAGTCTTGTTCTGCCAAAATTTAAGAAAGCACATAATCACTTCTTTCCAAATGAAAATAAAGACAGCTGGTTAGTTTGTGCACTTCTGTATACAGGTTTACTTCTAAAAGCAATATGAAAGGACATCAACATTTTTCATTTTTCCTATGCAAAACAGCTCTCATTTATTTGTAAACAATAACAATGCTATGAATGGATTTCGGTGTCACTAACCTTATTGAACCATTCAGGGCTTCTCTTTTTAGCCAGTGATAATGTTGTAACAAATCCAGCTAGCATTCCCGCTGCAGCAACAGTACCAAGGAAAATTCCACCTGCCAAGGGTTTGGGGGAAGGGCGTGGAGGGTGGGGAGAGAGATTAAAGGGAAAAAAACGCTTAAGTTAAAAAGATGTACACTAGTAAGTTTCAGGCATTAAATTGCATTCAAAAATCACTTTTGAAATTCGAGAAACGAGGCTAAGCAGCTCTTGTCAAAGGTAAACGACAGAGGCTGTGAAACCTGCGTGACCTCACGACCTCTGTTCCTGAGGTCATTCTGAGGTATCCATCATTCCCATGAGCAGAGAATGCGCGCAAGGTCCCTTCACCGGGACAGCGGCGTGAAGTTTCTCCCGGGAAGGAAAAAGGAGAAAGCGGAGATTAGAAAAGGGAGGGCAGGAGAGAAGCTGCAGAGAGGATCGGGGAAATGCAACGCACACGGAGCAGCTCTCCGGACCGGCCCCGAGTCCAGGGGAGCCTCCACCTCCCACGACCACTTAACCCACCCGGGCCGCCGGGCCCCACGTGCTAAACTCAGGGGCAAACCCAAGCAAAGGTCTCCCAGGGCGGGGTGTCGACAGGAATGCCCGCCCCAGCGCGGGCAGAGCCCGGGGGTGAGCTCGCCCGATGCCCGCAGCTCACCACAACACACCTTTAACCAGGAAAAGCCGGTCGTCGGCGGACCCCGGAGCCTCCAGCCCCGAGGACCGTTCTCCAGCCCCCGGGCCCGCGGTCTCCATGTTTACAACCCTCCGCTACCGCGTCCGGCACCAACTGGGCCCGGGTGACAGCGACAGCGAGGCGGAGGAGAAAGGTTCCGCTCTCAGCTCCCCGTGTACAACCTGAATACGCGTCCGGGGAACGGCCGCTGTCCCTAAACCCTCCCTCCTTCCCCGCCGCAGGGCATGGACGACGTGGTGGCTGCACGTGGTGTCCCCAGCCCGGCCCGGGGGGCGGTGTCCGCCAAGGCCGTCCCCCGGGGAGGGTCGTTTGCTAGCTCCAAGGTGATGATCGCTGCACTTGAATACCGTGTCTACAGTGATCAGCCCTGACTCTAGGAGGCAGTGAGGGGTCACAGATGGCGCCAGGAGCCCCGTCCCTGCCTGATTTGAGACCCTGAAGCTCAGTGTCCCGATCAGCCTTAAACCACGTACAAGGGTTTGGCCAGCGCTAACGTCTCACAGTTCTAAAAATGCAGGCCTCAGTCTTTGTCATTTTCTGAGAAATTTCATAATGGTCTTCATTTTAGGTGGAAGTGACAGGTTCTATCCCTGGAAGAGAGTCAGCCTGCCAG